AATGATTCCTAACTCTACCATGTGATCGAATTCGTTTTTGGCCAACCCCAGCTTTTCGGGTACTAGTCGTCGCGCTTTTGAAAATACGGGTGGTGATATGACAGGGCAATTTTGGCTGCGGTTGATATATCCCACAATACCTATCGAGTAATTGTTGATAGAATGGAACTATCATGTGTCTGTTTGTGACAGGAGATAATCTGCAACCGGAAAAAGAAGTTATGCAAACAAATGGATTGTTGTTTCCGTCTACTAGCCTGCATTTGCGCGTGTCGATGAGTAAATGGTGATGCTGTAGGAGGTGTATACTAATGATTGGCACAGAAACATCTGCAACAACAAAGACCCAGTGTATGGGTTTGCGTAAACCCGCATTAAGGTAAACATACCTTTCGGTTTGCCGTCTGTAAGGTTAAAATTGATTCGTGAATCTGATAGTTAGAATTTTCTGGAAGGACGATAGCTCCTGCATCAGTATTGACGATGTAGAGAACTCTCGTTGTCACATCTGTGACATATAACAAATGGCTATGTTCGCTGGCTACGGTTGCCGTTAACGCGTGTCGGCTTAGAAGTTTCCCGAACTGTTTTTCGTGTCAGTCGATTTTGAGTCCGGAAAACTGCAGTATTTTCTGCGATTTCCAGAAGATTACCCGTACTGGTTATGATACCAGCACTAGTCGGGGTTATCAGTCTCTCGTGGTCTAGAGACTGATCGCTTAGATGAAGTGCTTCTTCGAGGGGTGTGTGACCGTTTACGGTCGTTATGAAATTTAAGATAAGGTGTAAGTGTATGACACAATTCTGTAATGTCATTCTGTGTCCCTTGAGGCTTTTCTATGACTGAAAACCTTAATGTTAGAAAATTTGATGATTTCTAAGATGCGGTCGACAGATGCAGTCAGCTCGTCTAAGGCGTTGTTTTGAAACAAGACCAACACAGCCTGTACTTTTTGAGGAAGTTTGGATAAGAAAAGTTGTTTGAATAGATCATCATCGAAGGTTCTTTGGCCAATCACCTCTCGTTCTTTGCAACAAGTATGTCACAGAACCGCGTTGAAGGTCGATGTTATTAAGAAGTTGGTCTAACCTTTGTCGATCGGCTATGTCTCCGCGTTTAAGGATAAATCGTTTCAGTGTTTCGTAGGGTTCCGAAAAATCACTAGTAAACATATTAGGCGTTACGTACCTGTTGAATTCGCGCGATAGTGCCTTGAATACTGTGAGACGTTGTGCACGTGTAGTTCACGCCGTGCTCATAGAAGTCGGCTTCTGCGCAGCAGAACCGGCCTTCGATGTTGTCTGGCCAGAAGGGCATTAGTCGGAGCGAAGGCAAAGACATAATCTTCAACTTAAATATCTTGGGTATCGGGTGCGTCATCAGGTAACATCATGTACGAGAATGAACGAGTGAAAAAAATATCTCAAAAATACAAGAAAATATATCAAAATATATAAAAACTAATATACGGCAATGGCATACAGAATTCCAAAAAGCAACAGACTCAAAGTTTACAATTTAGTGTACCAGATCACTTCGGGTTCATCAATGAAGATGCCACAGGTATTCGGAGCTTGACAACGCCTTAACCAGTAACATTTTCTAATATGAATCGTACCTACCAAGTGAAATCCAAATGTGTGTGAATTCCAGTTACTAACGGGCGTCTTCAGACAAGACTGTCTCGAGAGTGGCAGTCGGCATTTAGGAGGATCGGGGTGTCATCTTCACTACCCAGGGTCTAGAATCTTAGACTTTCCTAGGTTATCTCACCACTTTTTGAGACAACATTTTCTCAAACTTCTAAGGGTTCCTGAACTTCCACTCCCAACTATCGTATTTTCTGTAACCATGATTTTTTTCTTCTGAGACATTTATAACATTGATGATTCTTCCGAAAAAGAACGACTGTTGGAATTCTCTGGTATGTTTCTGAGGGAATCGCGCTAATAATACTGTATATCAGGCAGAACCCTAACATCCTTCATTGATTTAAGCAAGTGATTTAAGCAAGTTGAATACCTTTTATGTCGTCTGTGCTAGTATGTATTTGTACTGGTCTCTAACAGTACGATGCTTGAAGCCGAAAATACTTTCACATTCGACATTTTACACCATAGGAATGGTCAGGTATGGTGAGCGCGGGAACACTTAACTGATATAGTATGGCTCGGCCATGCGGGCGTGGTCACCATATGTAACTTCTCTTAATCATGAAAAATATATCATTATATATCCAGCCCAAAATCGTTCTACAGATGTGCTGAACATCATATTGCAAACTGTCACGGTAGGACAAGTTAGTATAGAATATTATGTCACTTCCATGTAAGGTCTGATAGATTAGATGGTAAGTTCACAATTTCGATAAGGTCCATTATCCTAGAAGCATAGATAGTTGCACTAATATCGAATAAGGCCATAATCCCACAAATGAGTGCCATCAGTGTCTCGGATTATTTTGTGGACAACCGCGTATACAGCGCCTATGCTAGAAGACACACGTTTTCTGAGTCTGCAGAATTATGGTCTACTTCGTCATTAGTACTTCTCTAATAATAGACCTAATCCCAAGATTGTAGGTTTGTCATTATGTAGCTGCCTAATCTATAAGATCTTACGTGGAAGTCACATAATTGTCTACACTGAATCATCGTATTGCAACGATCATCAATATATGATGAAGAACACACTTAGGTTAGTGATAGAACATCATATTTAATACGAATAAGTGGTGAGTTACATAAGAATAACGACGACTGTAAGGCCGAGACATGTATTATTATTATTTGAACACATGAATATTGGTACAAGAGAGCGTCAATATATATGCACCGAGACATGCCATCCGATTGATTGAATTTCGAGCGAATGTTTACGCGTTCATCATTATTGACCTCTCAGTGACATATGTTGAATGTCTAATTTCCCAATTATCTCATGTTCAGCTTTGAGGATTGTGGTTAGGACCAATAACAGCTTCGGTGTTATGGCAGTGTTGATTTTCAGCATATCGTCGATGGTGTTGGTGCATGTCCTACTGAAGATGCATCAGTTATTTGGAGTTGGACGACACTTTAACCAGTAACGCCTTCTAATATGAATCGTACCTACCAAGTGAAATCAAAAGACAAAAGCGAGGAGGTTCGAAGATATATTTGATAGTTTATCAATATATCGAGGATCGACTGATCTAATCTGTCTAGCGATTGCAGAGGTTGTTGAACACGGCGTTACCGCTCATGATCTGGTGAGGATGCATAAACGAGCGCCTTCAGCTATGTAAGTTTATTAAAATTAATGTTGTAAGCAATTAACATCAAAAACTTACAGAGATATTTATTTTGGGGATTTATTTACTGCTACACTATTGATACTAATATTGTATGAGACCCCCTTTTTCAACTTACTGCACTTTTTTGCTTGTGTTTCCGTTTCAGTACCGTCCTATTACAGGATTGTCGAATATGTTTCCATAGACTTGTCAGAAGAATGATGGTGTTGCTTAGCAAATCGTCAGCATTCATTTTTTACGTGCCACATGCCCACATGGGATTTGTGGTGGATCTCAGTAAAAGTGTACTCAAAATATCACTATACGAACAGCTACTAAAATATTACACAATGAAATGACTTGTATGTTTATGATTAAAGCAAAATGGTTACAAATCGAACACACAGAATATTTTATGTTAAATAACAAAGTGATGAAAATTGATATAAAATAAATGTTACTTGTGAACTCCTTTTGAGGCAACAACCACAAATGAGTTCACTTGATTAACGAATGTTTCTCTGCACGTGTTGGTGTCAGCTGTCTGATAAGAAAATTTAAATGCGACAGTGTCATTAAATAGTAGCCTGGGCCTAAACCCAATGTTGTACAATCACTTAAAAAGATGTAATAACCCCATTATGACCTTTAATCGAAGGCTGTGTCCAGTAAAGTAAAAGAACAGATGATAGAGATAACGTCTATTTTTATAAAGGCAGTAGTATGTGTTAGTGCAATCACAGTTGTGTTCGTTTTTACAATTGAAACAGAAGACAATAGATATTGAATATAAATGTGACTATGTATAAGGTTCCAGAAATAAAGAAAAATGGCACTATTTCGTCATCGCAAATATCATTGAATATACATGTCACTGTAGACCTGACTTTGTTGTAAGCAGTTGTTGTGAGATCTGTCTATGTCCAGTTAAATCAAACTTCGCATTTGTCACACTGCATACCACAAGGGCATACAGGTTGCATAACGGAATAAGCTTTTATGATTAGAGGCAAGTTTGTCCATAAGCTTTGTCTGGTACTGAAGCCTGTCTTCTCTTATAGCCTTCGTGCATTTGTTCCTGTTATGTTTATATTGCCTGTACGCTCCGTCGTTGTCAGTTCGTTTGTATTCCGCCCAACAGTGCCTTTTGCGGCTTAACAGGCGAAGGGTAGAGTTCTTGATTTTTGTAGGTGGCTTGCAGCTTTTGGGAACCGTTTGAGGAACTGAATGCTTTATAGCACGTAAGAGCGTGTGCAGTAAGAAGTCCCAATGCCCGTCCACGTCGAGTTGGGGATGAACATCCCAAACCACCTGTTGTAGATAGTCGTGTAGAGCTGGCACATTCAACCGTTTTAAATTCCAATGCGAGATATTGGTGGGGTAGTATAAAAGTTAGGATTTACTAAAACTAGCTTCATGGTGAGAATAAATGTAAAAAGCCGAACGGTTATTTGAGACGAAATTATGCTTAGTTATTAACTTAAACAAAACCCGAAGTGAAAAGTAGTCTACTAAACTTTAAGCACAGAAAGTCACAAGTGGTACTTATTTTGAGTTAAGACTCAGCAAAACTTTGAGAGATGAAAACCTTAATCTTAGAGTTTGCATAAGGTTAAAAACAGAGAGGATATTATAACAAGCAATATAATTTTACATCAACTTTATTATATTAGGTGATTTACTATTTCAAAGTTGTTTGACTCGTTAGTGAGGCCTAATTTGAAAATGAACTTTTTAGTTGGTAAGTTTGAGTAAGGCGTAAGTCGATAGATTTCATACTTGTTTTCGGTTTCAACCCTGCATCTGTCAAGCAACCACAATGAAGCGAAGTTAAATATATGCACTATCATAATCCGTGATGCGAGGATTTTTCTGTCGTTTTTGCTGGCTGTAGACGTGTGGAGTGTTTTGTAGTCTTTCTTGATAGAACATAAGATACAACATAACGAAAGTCGTACCTTCTACAATAGAAGGTACTCCAAACCATTTACAATCGAGTGACTAAATAAACGATGACATAACTGTAATTACTGACCAATATATTGACCTGGATTTTGTCTCTAGACATCAGTTTTCTTGTCGGTTTCAGTCTTGGATGGTCATTTTCATTACAAAGCAATTTTTGTGTAATATGTTAACTTCTGTAATAGCTTTGATCCCGATCAACCGTTTGTAAACTTGTTCACCTTACGTTAAAAATAATTAGTGAAACTAGATAATTCTATAATAAGACCGTTGTCTGTATAGGTCCTTACAAGTATATACTTTTCTCCCTATACACTTATGAACCTTCATTATCCTTCCTTTAAGTAAGGTACGCCCCAAGATTAGGTTTAGTGGGAGGTTTTGAATTCATTCTTCGTCCGTGCTAACCGAAATGAGAAAATAAATGCGTCATTACTTTATAGTTTGGTGATGATAATGGCGAAACGCGTCAAAATGTCTTTGTTGCATGGCTGGGACTAGTGAAACAGCCCCAATTGTTTCTGTTGGGAAAATGTCTCGAAATTTACGTCGACTGGTCCAGATTTCGCCTGATTTTCCGACTACTCCGTGCATGCAAAATTATTCAGTCTTCAGTAATAAGGATAGTAGGTTGATAAACCTGTGTTAATCCTGACACATTACTTTCCAGTGAAGGTCCAGCTTTTCCTTGAAAGTATTCACTGATGGGGCTGATACCACTTGTTCGGGTAAGGCGTTCCAATGATTGACTACTCGATGAGAAAAACGGGATCCCACTTTAAGTTTATTAGATCGTGGTTTATGAACCTTCTTGCTATGACCTCGGAGATTATTAGTGCTGGAGGGAGCAAAAAGATAAGACATATTAACACCCAAATCATCATTAAAGATACGAAATGCCAGTATAAGGTCACCTCGTGTCCTACGATACGACAAGGGGAAAAGATTTAGGCGTTTTAAACGCTCATCGTAAGGGAGTCTAGAAAGACCCTTCACTAATTTCTTTCCTACACGCTGGACACGCTCAAGGGAGTTAGTATCCTTTACCAGACACGGGCTGGCTGCTTGGATACAGTACTCTAAATGTGGTCTAACATATATGGGATATAAAATTCGAAACATTTCCTCGTCAAAAGATTTGAACGCTCGGCGAAGTGACCATAACGCACGAAAACCTTTGACAGCGGCTGCTTTGCAATGCGTAGTTGTTTTTAAATCATGACTTAATATTACTCCTAAGTCTTTATGCTCTTGAACGCATGGAAGAGGTTCACCCTCAATAATGTAACGGTAACTATTACCGTGACCGATGTGCATTAGTACACTCTTCCTAGCATTGATTTCTAAGCCCTACTCTCGAGCCCATCTAACTAAATCGTCTAAGTCAGCTTGAAGATCCACATGATCAGCCGCACTTTTTATTGTTCTCCAGATTTTTACATCATCCGCAAACAATAATGTCGACGACCTAAGTAACAGCGGTAAATCATTAACGTAGAGAAGGAAGAGCAGAGGGTCTAAGATGGTGCCTTGGGGTACACCACTTTTGACCGGCTTCCAATCGGATAGCGTTCCGTTGACCCTAACTCTCTGTCTGCGGTCACATAAGAAATTTCCTATCCACTCATGTACAGTACCTATTATTGCGAAGCTCGTGAGCTTCTGCATAAGACCTACGTGTGAAACCTTGTCAAACGCTTTGCTAAAATCTATGAATATCACGTCGACAGACAGACCGTTATCTAGGGCTGCTGTCCAATCCTCCCTCGCAATAAGCAAGTTAGTCAAGCATGAACGCTTGTTACGAAATCCGTGTTGCTCAGGGGCTAAAAGATTGTGTAGATCTATGTGGCTTAGCAACCTAACCCGAATTATCTTTTCGAGTAACTTAACGACTATGCTAGTTAGACTGACAGGCCGGTAGTTAGATACTATCTGTCCCTGTCCGTCCTTAAATATAGGACTAACTATAGCGTCCTTCCAATCTCTAGGGAGTTGAGCGAGTGAGAGGGACATGTTGAAGAGTGTCGCAAGCGGTTTTGAAATAATGTCCGCAAGAGATGACAGCAACCGTGGATGTAACCCGTCAGGGCCCGGTATCTTACCAGGTTTGAGGTTAGTTATCAACGGAAGGACAGTTTCCTCAGTCACCTGTACAGATTCAATGGTTGGTATCTCGATGTGAGTGGGACAAGTATTTGTTACAATAAACGTAGAGAAGACTTCGCTAAAGTAGTCTGAAAAAGTCTCAGCTTTTTCTCGATCTGATTCAGCTAGTAATTCTGAATTTTCGTGTAACGGTAACGGGGGAATACCATCACTACGTTTCATTTGCCGTTTAACATACGAAAACAATCGTTTCGGGCAAGTACGGCTATCATATACTAACTGTCGTTCGTAAGTGGTACGAGATTTGGCTATGGTTTTCTTACAGATATTACGGAATTTTTGGTACTCACGCTTAAATGGTGCATGACCTGTCAACAAGAATAAGTCCCAGAAATGTTTCCTACGCTTTAACAGCTTCTGGGTTTCCTTATTAATCCATGGAGGGCAATGTGATAGCTTACGTGCTGACCATGGGATAAACGGCGACGTTACGGACTCGAATGTAGCCTTAAACTTATTCCATTCATCTTCGATCAATCCATCCGCGTCGACCGACCAATCAGTCGAGATAGCACAGTTTCTGATTTCCGGAATATTAGCTCGCCAGATATTGGGACGGGGTGGAGCGGATACGAATTGTATACCATGTGTCCTAAACTTAAAGTGAATTACAACGTGATCACTGTTCACTAGTAGTGGAAGTTGCTGGATATCAAGGACATCCTCAGAGTGGTGGGTGAGGGCGAGGTCCAGCAGTGACGGAACATGTTGCAAATCAATATGTGTCGGTTTTGTGACACATTGTACAAGTGCACACTGAATAACGGTAGATAAAAGGTCGCTATCGAAACCACTACCTGGAGCTGTAAGCTCTATCCAGTTGATATGCGGTGCGTTGAAGTCCCCAATGATGAGACAACATTCTGCCATACTCCAAGAACAGATGTGTCTTAGGATAAAGTCGTCAGCAAGACAAGACGGACTACGGTATATTCCCCCTATAGTCACTAACCCATTTCTAGATTTAATCTTACAACATGCAACCTCACATGTGCCACTGATATGAGCCTCCGATATGGTTGATTGTATACGAAAGTGATCCCTAACGTATAATATTACACCTCCCCCTTTGCGACTTGAAACTCTATCACTTCTGATACAGATATAACCAGCAATGAAAGGAGGACAGTCTATATCAACGGTGAACCAAGTTTCTGTAACAACGATTATATCGGGACATAATTCTTGCACCATCAGACTTAGCTCGGACGTTTTATTTCTAAGACTACGAGCGTTCGTGTAGCACACACTTAAGGTGTTTTGGCAATCAGTCGTTCTACCCATACAGGCCTCGGAAGCATTGGCTTCCAAGACCTGACTACCCGAAAACCGTTAATGGTAAGGTTATTTTCGCCATTTAATTTGCGAGTCCTCAACTCCGTAAGAGCATTCTTCCACGTGATTCGATCCTCAAGTGGCCAATCTGGTCGAATACGGATATTTGAGGCACGAGTTTTTAGTGCGCTTTTCAATAATATGTCTCTTTCTTCAAAACTCCCGAGAACCAGCTTCAGGATTCTTCTTGGTTGGGTCTCGCCTCCAACCCATTTACCAAGTCGTATTACTTTTGTAATATGTATTCCTGAAACCTCTTTAGGTAGTACATTCCTTACCACAGACTCCACTAACTGCAGGTCATGTGCATGTCTTCTAGCAGGGTCGTTGTCTTTCGACTCCTCTAGATTCCAAATAATTAAACTAGGGAGGGGTTTGGCTTCTTTTGAAACTGTGTTCACAGCTTTCGACCGTGACGTTAGATCCAGTATTTTAACTACTGGTATCTTACGATTAGTTTTTATTTTAACAGAGTCCTGGGAGTCAAGCGAATTACTCACAACAATGTCAGACGAAGCTTTACGATGGGACTTTGGCGGATTGGCCTGAGAGTCCACCAAGGACTTACCAAGTAAACAGTCATTAGTTTTAGCTATCTTTCCTACTCTTCTGCGTTTTCGCGTCATCAATTTTCCATCAGTCGAAACGTCTACATTAGAACAATTCGGGACAGTAATTGTTTTATCTGGGTCACCGGTTGCTGCTGTAGCAATATGGCCACCAACGTCTAATGACGTGTCACTCACTGAACGTTTCGGGAGAGAACGTTTAACTGCGGGTTGCACAGGTAGATGTCTGGCTTGCGCCGTTATAGCACTTACGACACTAACGCAATCCTCGCCATCAGTACCAATGTTATCATTACAGCCCTCATCAACCTTCTTATTAGACAACACCAGGAGACTAATTGCTTCCTGGATAAGCAATGTTTTGCTTGAGAAACAAAAACTACAAAGCCAATGAGAGTTAGGCTTTGAACACCTTTTATATGCAGTGGGGCTTAGTCGAGTGCACATCTTATGGAACCACTTATTACACTCATCACATTGCAGTACGGTTGTCCACATTTATGAGTAGAACTAGCCATCGTGAAAATCAACTAGAACGGTGACGAAAAACAGGATATGTAAAGGGAATTTCAAACCTTAACTAAATAAATCAAGTAAAAGTCGACAAAGTAGGCTTCGATGCAATAAATACACAAAATGGAAAAACTCAATATCACTTTAACTGGGGTAGATGCAATTAAAGTGTAAACAGTAATTTTAATGCGTAGTTTTCGATCAAAACAGTTAATTAACTCAACGAGAAAGAATACTACTGTCTTTTTAAATAGCTTTTTACAAAGAGACAACTTTCAACACAATTTACAAGATTGAGAATTACGCTACATTTGTTAAAAGGCCGTGTTTACTGATTAATCAGATTTAACTTTAACCAGATTTCATAAGAATATTCACAGCACGGAAGTAATAATAACATTCACGGTGTAAGCTGCGAGTTTGATTGTCGTAAATTGAAATCTGGGAATGATAAAAAAGCTGCCAATAAGTTCATGATTTATGAAATAAATTACCAGGAGATAATGACGTGTAGGCCTTTCTTACGTATTTCTACTTTGTTTCTATAAAACATATCCAAGTGGAAAAGTAAACGCATGTACAATAATCTGTTAATTGAATTGCCCATAAATTTTTACAAAACCTCATTACGAACCGTACATATCATTGGATGATTTCTAAAATAAAGTCAGCCCGTATAGTAGAGTTATATTTCAATATGTGCAATATTAGTACGCTACTACAAAAGGTGAGTAATGTTAAAATGGTACCGTGCACCTAAAGAATGGAAACAAAAAACTGTCTTAGAGAAATTTCACATGCATTACCTATCCTTCTGTGATAATGCATACCGAGCTTATCCTTCATGTCATGGAAATAACTTTGATTCGTAATGCTAATGCGCCTTGTGATTAAGAATGACAATAAAAGTATTACATTGTGTGCTCGTTTAAAATTCTCACCTTTGAAGAGCTATTTTGCGTAGTGACAATTAGTGTGAAGTAGATGACTACTTCAGATTTCGTTACGTTACAGTATGTTTCATATGAACGATTTGGAATCATCACTTACCACTCTTGTCATCATTGCCATACGAAATTTTTGATAATTATTAAGTGGAAAAGTCAGCATACAAATTTATCCTTCATATCTTGTTGGAGATATTTGTACAACTCTCCTAATTCCTCTTCAGTTAACAGTGAATTGTATAGTTGGTAGTCTCATGCTAAACTTTTAAGGATAATTATCACATGCATCTCGTTTTTAGTGTGACAAGCTAGAGAAAGTTACCAGTCAAATAAGACACGGCTAAGGTTAGGTTTTGGAAAGCTGCACGTACTTTTGCAAATCTTAAATACAAGCTACTCAATTCTAATGCTTCTACTGTCAGGCATTGACCTTGAAGTATAAGACCAGTTTAACATTGATTGAATTTATTTATATCTTGATAACAGGTTTACTTTGAAATAAGGAACGTGGGAGCATTCTGAACTGCAAATATTGTATGGGACTGCATCCAGTATGGATTCCGGCAAAATCCGAGTCAACGGAGTTGTGCAGGAAATCTTATTCCCGCTTTACTAATCTCAAATTCCTAACATTCGTTAGAGAATGGATAGTTTACGGAAATTCATGTACCAACGAAAGGATTACTACTTTTCTACGAATATTTGAACGAACAGTTTGATAAGAATTGGGTACCGAGTCTATGAAAGACATTAATTTGTCTACACAGTTATCGGAGATACATGTACAGCAGACATCACCGATAGATCCCAAACCAATGGTGCACATGGGCTCCAGGATCCTAAGGAAACAAACGGCGTATGAACCAATTGTTGGTCACTGGCTACTGTGATGCTGCATCTCCTTACGTTGCCCTACTACCTTGTGGATTAGACCTTTAGGTCAAAGGTTTGGGGAGTGGTTCCTTAAGAATACCACCTGCTTCGGTTTGGACACCCGGGCAATACCACAGCCCACTCACAAATCAAGTGACTTGTGTGGTGCATATGTATTCAGTTCCCTTTTGTACCATATGTGTTCAAATGAAATAAAAAGTACTAAATAGGAGAAACGAATCCAGATGTTTCAGTTACCCCTCATTTGACAAGTCGGGAAGTCTTTGTACCAACTTGATATCTACTCTGGACATTAAAGGGCACAATAAAATTAGTTACGGACCAATCACTTAGTTTCAGTAACCTAGATTAGATCTTACGTGGGCAAGATATGCCATTCGAAACATTTCATCATTAAGGCATTTTGAGGCTTCACGAATCAACCATAACACATAATTTGTTGCATAACTGGTTTGCTGTTTTCAATTTTCTGTTAAGTATCGGGTGACTATGGGAAATAATGCGAAATTGTGACAGTTGGACTCGTTGTTCTCTGTTTATTAATTTTTTTTTACAAACTCAAACATTCAGTGGTCAATCCTAGTTTGATGGATCAGCATCGTAACCCTAAGCTATAATTAGTACGTTAATCAATGTGATCGTTAAACTGAATCACCATTCTTTGAAATTTCTGGAGGTAACTTATCAAGGTTTTTCGTTATACTAATACCTAGTGATAAAATAAGGGTGATATCCAACCCAGGAACTTTTAAGTGATTCAGTGGTTAATAATGCAATAAATTATGTAATATGTTGTCTTCTACTACTGAAATTACGTTTCAACGAAGTTTATATGGACCATCGAACTTGGTTTGGTATTTTGAAGCAGCCGTAAGCAGATTTCTTTCTAGACGGCTGGACTGTTCCCAGTTTTCAAAAAGCACTCAACCCAGATTACAGAACTATCTTACGTTAAAAAGATTTACTTCCAAAACCTCACTGGTAGAATGTCTGATAGATGACTTCGTAATTAATGGGGATATTGTTCATAATTTCTGCTAACTTAGTACACCTACAGATCAGCTATCTGTATGTCTTTTATGTAACCTGAATTTTATTGCTCTATGATTCAACGTATATCATATTTGACCTTTGATTATTAGGGAATGTAACTGCAGTACAGTTTCTGGTTCAAAGGTATCATAGCAACACTTAGATATCCGGTTATCGAACAACTTGAAACTATTCAATATCTCCGGATCATTCTGGTCATACTCCTGTTGTTTTCAACTAGTGTTTTTTTATTTATCTTATTAAATCTCATAGCCCTTCTAAAGTCAATACCTTTATTTTCCAGGTGGTGGCACGGGATTAATAGGTCGATCACTTGTTTCATCACTTCGATCAACTGGACATAATGTACAAGTTATCACACGCAGACCAAAGGAAAGAAATGATTTGAGCTGGGTAGACTCCTTTTTAAAATATGAAGGGCTTACGTATTAGGATTCTATCAAGAAGAATGGTTTACCAAAAGATGTAGATGTTATTGTAAACCTGAGTGGTCGAAACGTTGGTGAAGTTAACCCACTATTTCTTATCAAACAGTCAGCTAACTTTAATTACACCCACATTTATTTTCATGAATCGCAGGAATTATGATAAATATATTGACGAAGTTTTTTCCAGTCGTTTAGATACAACCAAGCTTCTTATTGATTTATCAAAATCTGCCCCAATTTAGGCATTTATTAATGCGTCAGAGATTGGTGAGTTCAATAAGCCATAAACATAACTTCTGTTTTGCGTATATAATACAATGTTATATTTACATGGATCATCAGCTTCTAGTAATTCTATTAAACTTGTTAAGAATAATTATAAGGAAGACTATGTAACTAAGTGAACAAACGGTAAGTAGCATAGAGCGTGTACCAGGATTCTCCAATTAACTCTGCTCAGGGCTGTCCTTTCCAGCTGTTCCCAACTGTTATTCTTCCTTTTGGTGTCTGCCTACAATTTCCGGCACATTCCTTTCTTCGGTCTGCCTTTTTTTCCTTTTGCCCTCAGGATTCCAAGTTATGACATGCTTTGCGTTACAGTTTTATTGAAGTAATAAATATACCAAGAGAAAATCAAGTGCGCTGTATTATACATTCACCATTAAGACTGTCTTAAAAAACTGGTCAGTATTCAACATATCAAGGTGATCTCTCAGCGAATGAATAGCTCTCTACAAACTATTGTTTCGCACATTTTGTAATTATTAAGCATGCGAACGAACATACATCTTTGCTCATGCCGTGATTGATTTTCACTATGAATTTAAAAATTGAGCCATATGACAATTTACAAATGTGGGATTATTCACACTCTAACTACTCACTTTTGTAAAAGTTGAACTAATTAGTTTGCTTACTTTGTAAACAATAAGCTTCCGGATACGACATTTACTGATGGTCACATCATGTTTTGAGTGAATCGTAAAACAATTATATTAGTTGGTAAGTTCCAAATCACGTAATGATTTTGTGTAACGATTGATGGTCGAGTTCAGTAAGTGATCAAGTTTGGAATAGACTGTAAGTCCAATACTGAACATTTTTTGTGGCTCTCAGTGTCAGCTAACATCAAATTATTGTCACAAAACAAAAGGAAAGAATCCTGATGAGTGATGATTTTGTTTGCATTATCCACAATTTTCCAACCAGCACCGTTCTATACCAATAAGAACACAAGGGAATCTGTACATAAGACATATTTCCAGACAACAATCAATGTACTTTTGTAGAAGCTATGACTTAAGCGTTTAGATAAGAATTATATGTAGAACTTCTGCCTTCCTCTGAAAACTTTACAAATACTAATTAGTTGAAATATGACTGGATTAGTTTTGCACTTAACGTATGGAGCTGATTCATTGAGTTGATTTTCAATTCAAGCGATTTTAAAGTTTTTATTTCGTGTTATAACCACAACGGATTTTACATTCATAGGTGATAACATTGTACTTCATTGTGTGGTGTTGATATTGGCTCCTTAAAATAACTTAATATAATTTTAATGTCTATAGAAGTTCTGAACTGTTTCTAAAATGACCAACAAGTGAAATTACCTTTCAAAGCATCACTGAAGAGTGTTCTAACTAGCGCTAAGTTTCTATCACATTTATTCATAGACATCAATTTTACTATCAATACATCGTCTTCCTCATACCCGATATCAATGTTCTTTGTTAAAAACAAATGTTGGTTGATACCAGGTTTCATTGAGGATTTTTAAATAAACCGAAGATCTAAAATTATCTTTATTTCTTCAATAGATATATCTTACCTAATTTGAAAAGTGTAAGACATTTCATTCTCCATCTATTTTTGTTCGAATTAGTTATGCGTTAGCCTTATTGTAGTTATAATTCTTACTAAACTTCTTTCAAATAAGCAGGAAAACATTCACAAATATAACAGTAATATTGATACTTTTTGAGAACTAATCATTGTTCATATATGAGCATCCTGTGGATTTTTTCGATCTAACCATCTTGATAGTGTATGTACGCACAATGTTCCACTGTGGTACATTTGTGTTTATTTCTGTCGTATTTTTGGTAGGTTTCTACCCTCCTGATCCGCAAATCACATATGATGAATCTGCTCCATTCAGAGACTGTGGCTTCATCACAAATCTTGTTAAGCGATGGGAAGATGCAGCTCAAATACCCTCTAGACCTGATATTCGTCAAATTCAACTGCGAATAGGTGAGTTTTGAAGTTTCCTAGTACTTCTTGCCTAATCTGACGAATGTTGAATGCTAGTCCAGAAGCTTGTATGAAGGCTAGGGGTAGTCAAACTAAGATGTGGCATCAGTTCATGAAGTCATTGATTGTTGATCTAAGCCATTTCAGTAAACCTAATATACTTGGTTGGAGCCCGCGTGATAACTGTGATCAGTACTTGGAAACTACGTGATATAATTTTTACAATCAATCGATCTGGCTTAGCTGCATTCACGCTTTATGTTCCTTTCGATTTTGATTTTCAATATCCCTTTATTGCATACCTCTCCACCCTTTTAAATGTTTTTAAATCATACTCCCCAAGACTTGGTCTTTCTTTTTACCTTTGCCGTTTGACTATTCTGATTTCTTGTTATTTTAGTCCTGTCGTGCTTATAAAGTAGTGACAGCACATGTATGCCAGGTTGGCTGATATTTCTGATTATCATTATTTTTTACTATCGTCATGTAATCCATCATCAGGAAATAAAATTACCACTAATGATTTTCGCTCATATCTCTTTTTATTGGTGTTGTTAAATATAGGCTTAATTTGTTATCGAAAAAGCCAATTATACTAAGTATTAAGTTTAGGCAAGTCAATGGTTTTAAATATTCAAGTTCCGTCAACACCATTTAATGGCTGCTTCACACTACTTGATCAAGTTTTAATGATAGCTGCAATTAGTGGTTCGAGGAGCTAGGTGATATAACTGAGAGTTTGTCACATTGGTGTGGATATACTCACTCCCTATTTTCTCCTTGATCTTAAGTTTCAATATTATCCCGTACTTTTTATCTCTGAAATCCATTCTTTTGAGATATTCCCTAATGTTTTTTTCATCTCATTATCATTAATATTACTACTATCTCGACGCCTTAGCCATTCACCTTGTTAACTTCATTCCAATTTGCTATAGTATAACACCTTAAGCCGACACATTTGTCTCAGACTCTGTGTTGATTGTGACTAGCTAACTAATTTATAGAAGACTGGCTTTTCACAATTGGATGATTTGGGAAATCTAGACCGCTGGTTCAGATATGATTCGAAAGATAGTAAAATTAAATGTTACTGGATTAGTTATTTCACATTACAAGAAGGTTCATATGTTATGTAACGACTAGTTGCTGACAAAAAAATAATGACTAAGGATAGCATTGAAGCAAAAAATAGTACATGCAGGACTTATTTCGCCTGTATATATCTTAGTTACGATTTGCATAACTGTGGAGTCAGAATCTGGGTGGTAACTATGGTCGAAACAAACTGTATTTTATCATTGTTGCTTTATGTGTTTCTAAAACGTAAATTTATATATTTAGTAAATATCGTCTGTGAAAAAACGAGGGTAATGCACACAGCAATGGAGAGTCCAACAATTTCTAATTTTTAGAAGTAGCCATACTTAAAAGAGTTCAATTTTGATAATTGATAGTAAAGTAGATGCAGACCACTCTCAGATAAAACTGATACAAAGTGGCTTGATGTTTACAGTAAGATTTGTCTGATTCCTCTAGTTACGTGAATAACTAACAACACATGAAGGTAAATAACTGGAACGAGAATGCTTCTTAAAATTAGGTTTGGTTTTAACTACTTTAACGGATCCACTAAACGATACCAGCATGATTGTTTTGCAAAGTTTCCAACCCTCTAGATTCTTTTTTTAAATTCTTCATTAGTAATTTTACTGACCACCATTCTTATTCATTACATAAAGTATTTTCCTAAGTTTTCATTTCTTTCCTTCGCTTTAGGTGTAGTTCTTAGCCAAGACTCGAGTTTCATTCGTACTTTTCACCGCATTTATCTTCTGGGGTTTTGTAATCCGATTGGTACTGGTCGTCAATGGATATCTTGGATTCATTTAGATGATATGGTTAGAATAATTGAATACGTTGCTGACCCTAAACGAGTTTTTTCGAGCGGACCTGTCAATTGTACATCACCTAAATCTGTTCAACAGGTTACTTTTGCTAAAGCCATGTCTGAGTCACTTGGTGCTCCGAGTAATATCCTTTCTAATGTTCCAGTCCCATCGTTTCTTTTCACTTATCTCCTTGGTCGTGATCGTGCTTCATTAGCTGTAGATGGTCAGCATGTGATTCCTAAGAAGCTCCTCAATGCAGGGTTCGAGTTCACTTACCCTGATTTAGCAGATGCTTTGGAAAATATTTTCGGTCGTCGACCCCGTTCATAAAAGTCACGTTTTAACTTTTTATTGAACGAAGTTATCTCTCAATAAAATATGACTAACCATGTTTTTCTCTTGTTATCTGTCCAACCATGATAGTTAAATCTATTTGCACCTAAGTACATTTCTAGTGTCTCACATATTCATATATTATTTTTTTCCAGCGCTAAAATTATGACTTCCTACATGGAGACTTTGTGTTATGTAGCTGTTTCACCACTCACCAGTAAATTCGAAATATTTCAATTTTTAGGAGCTAGTTTTTGCTACTTAGTGTATAATTAAGCAATACAATTCTTTATATTCTGCAAGTTTTTTTGCTCTGCTATAATTTATAATGATCGTCGAACGTGTGTGTCGGTCGATAACACTAATAAAATCTATCTTAGGAAGTGTTTTTGTATACATTGTCAACAACAAATCATGTGATTGCTGAATACGACAACGGTCATATTATGTATCACGATATTTACCGTCTAAAAGTAGCCACAAGAATGTCAGTTACCGTCTCAATAACCATGTATAGTAGAGGACAGGTTGATGTTCGGTATTATTAAATTTTTAATTGTTATACGAAACAAATTTATCTAGTTTCATGTTAGCTGAATGTTACATTAGGATTTGAAGTCAAGCATATTGTGATTTAGAAATGCATGCACTGTGCACTTAATATTTTGAAATACTTCCATTTCAGAGCATAAGTCAATTAAGATTTTAGGCATAGTAATTCGATACCCCTACGATAGTATCATAAGCAGAAGCTTATAAATATATGAGTTGGTATGTAACCCATAGTTAGTCGTTGAACGTCCAATTCTTGATTTTACTGGTCGCCAACAAGGCGGATTTACGGTCGGAATCTCGCCTTAAGTGTTAAAGTAGCTGTATTGACCTCAGCATTGATTTTACTCACACTTGGTGATTTCTTTAGAATTATCATGTATAGGGGAAATACACAGTATTACTTCAAAATCCCAAGCTTAGAATTCTAGCCTGAATTCATGCAAAGAATATTATCTTGAATAAGCATCATACTAAGATATGTCAATGTTGTACAGATTATCCCACTGGAAATAAAATAAATATTCCATTGAGTGACCATTTTATTGAATTAAAAGCGGAAGTAGTGTTGAAAAGAAATCAATGAATTAAAAACGTAATTTTGTCACTTAATCACATCATCATCGAGGTATACGCCAAATCAATGAGATTCTTCCGGTCTGTAATCGTGTATAGAATTCCGGCGTCCTATCGTACATCACATCTCAAGTTACTGAAAACATATTTGTTAGTGTGGTGATTAATATGTAGAATGAAGTCGCTGAAATTTGAGAAGTCAAAGATAGTAATACGTAGTAATCGTCATGTAGTACTTTTATCGACCCCCCGCAGATGATTTATTTATTTATTTGAACACATAAATATTGGTACAAGAGAGCGCCAATATATATGCGCCACACAAAACAATGAAAATTCGAAGAGAGATAGAAAAAAAAACTAAGGAGAACAAAAGAAAAAGAACGATAACGAAGAGATTGGTGTAAGGTAGTGTGGTCGTAACGATGGAACGGAAAGGTACAATCAGAAGAAATCTTTCAAGTAAGGGAGACAACCAATTTTTATGAAGAAAGTAAAAGAAGGTTACAGGTTACGTGGAATTCTCTGGGACGACATTCGTAGAACATGTCCAAGCCACCGAAGTCGGTGTTTCAAGATGGTGACACCAATTGAATTATCATATCTGTGCCCAAACACACGATGCCGAACCTCTGCATTACTGACATGGTGTTGCCACTGAATATCAGCAATCCTTCGGAGACAGCGATGATCGAACACAGAGAGTCGTCTAACGTCCTCAACTCGGAGAGGTCAGGTTTCACAAGCATAGAGCAAAAATGCTCTCACCGACGCGTTGTAGATCCGACCTTTTTCAGCCAGACTAACATCACGAAGGCGCCAAAGATGGCCCAGATTGGCATAAGCCACTCTGGCTTTCACTGTACGTGCATTGATCTCATCACTCACACCCCCACCAGCACTTATGCAGCTACCCAGATACACGAACTTCTCGACTACGTCTATCTGCTCACCATCTAGGGTGAGTACAGGATTGGAATCCTGCCAGTCTTGTAAAAGTACTTTGCACTTCGAAGGTGCAAAGCATACACCGTACCTACGGACATTGATTGCCAACTGATTAAGTGCGGATTGCATGTCTTGGGGATTATCGCACAGTAAGACAATATCATCCACATACTCAAGGTCGAGAAGTCTTTCTCCAGGCAACAGATCCACACCACCATTACTTACATTCATCAAAGCTGTTTCCAGAATGTCATCGATTGCAAAGTTGAAGAGGAATGGTGATATTGGGCAACCCTGCCTAACCCCACTGCTTGAATGGAACAATGGAGAAGGGTGGTTGTATTCCCTCACTCTCCCTGAGGTGTTTGTATATAGGGCTTTTAGGATGTTAATAAATTTCTCAAGCACATCCTTCCTCAATAGACAATCCTAGAGAACAGTCCTATCCAACGAATCGAAGGCAGCCCTGATGTCAAGAAAAACTACGATTGTTGGCCTTTGAAAATTATGGCGGTGTTCTAACATTCGGCGCAGGGTGAAGATATAATCAATACATCCTCGACCGGAACGAAACCCAGCCTGCTCCTCGCGAGTCAATCTTTCTCGGGTTTTGAACAACCTACGAAGTATGACGGAAGCCAATAGCTTGGTTGCAATCGGAATTAGACTTATCCCCCGATAGTTGTTACAGGAACGACGTGAACCATTTTTAAAGATAAGGACAACCATCGACTTATTCCATGAAGTTGATACATTCTTTAGTTCCCAAACCTTTGTAAACAACGTCGTCAATTCCTTAGTCAGAAAGTCACCACCATCTTTAAAAAGAGCCGGAGGTAAGTCGTCTGGGCCCTGTGATTTCTAGCGCTCCAAGGGTTGGAGTTCCTTGAGGACTTCCGTCTCATTCGGTGGATCAGTCGTCACCGGCCATGGAGGGCACGACAGTCTGACCGATGTTGCCGGAGCAGCAGGCCAGTTGAACGGCCCTTCAAAAAATTCTGCCCATCGTCCAAGACGTCGATGGATGTTAGTGATTGGCATCCCGTCATCCTCACAGATTGTTTCGCTCACACGAGACTTCTTGCTGTCAGTGGCTCGGATGAGTTGGAAGAGCTTCCGGTAATTACCGGATGCAGCTGCTGCTTCCAGCTCACTAGCACGCTCCGACCACCAGGCTTCTCGGTCCTTACGTAAGCTTTGCCCAATTTCGCTACATAACAACATTCGTTTATGGTCAAACTCACGGCCACCCGGAGTAGATCGACGGGCTTCAATGAGTTGTAAGGAGCCTGAAGAAACCCAGTGCTTATAAACGAGACGTTTCACGAAGCCGCAAGCGACTTTACTCGCCATTTTCATGGCGTCATGCAATTGCAACCAATGCTCATCTATACTTTTCGGTGGAATGGTAGCTAGCCTAGAAGCTAGCTCGGTTTGATACTTACTTGCAACAGAAGTTGCAACCAGCTTGCTGACATTAATCCTTTGGTGGCGGTCACTTCGTTGTCCACTGAAAAGTAAGGCAAGATTGGCGCAGACCAAGGCATGGTCAGAGTCCAGATAGGTATTCCAAAAAGAAGCGGCAGTCTTGTACATAACCACACCAGCGGTAGCTGATCGCGATGTGATCAATCTGAGTCCAGGCTTGGGATGCAGAGGGAGGACGCCAGGTGGCACATCAGCGATGACTGTGCCGAAAGTTAGTGCTGGCCAGAAACAGGTTGTGGTCTGTGCATAGTTGCAGTAGACGGTCCCCGTTATCTGTCCTGCGACCAACGAGTCCCCATCGGCCACCTAAACGACTCTCTTCTGTGCCTAGACGCCCGACCTGAGCATTCAAGTCTCCGGCTAGTACTACAATATCTGTCGAGCGCACTTTCTGGAGAAGAACAGATAACTGGTGGTAAAACTCATCCTTGATTGCATCCGGGCTGCAATCTGTCGGGGCATAGGCGGAGATGACGAAAAGACATCGTTTCTCACGCCGATTTCTTCTCACTTTGATGGAACTTTCTAATTTAACAGCACATAGCCGACTGTTAATGGGGATCCAATCAACTAGTGCTGCCTCAGCTCTAGCGCTTAGTGCGACACCAACGCCAGCAAGACCAAACGAAGATGTCACAGGGTCCCCGGATAAGCGCACGTAAAACAAGCTTTGCGAAGCGACAGATGGAGATCGAATTTGTAGTACTTCACCAGAGTCTTGAATACGGGTCTCGGATAGACAACAAACATCAATATTAAGACTTTCCAAAGACATAGCCAGCCCTATCTGTTGTCCGACCTGCACTGGTGTGCGAATGTTGAAGGCAGCCAGTTTGAATGGTGCACGTGGTTTCAGAAAAACTGCTTCAGTTCTCGTATTCGGTGGTAACATACAATTTTCAACCGGACAGTGACTCGAGAACGTTTAGATACAGTCGACTTTCCACCAAAGACGAGCCGCTGTATAAGTATAAAAGAGGGTGAACAAAGTGGAAAATAATAATAATAATAATAATGACTATAATGGTAATAATAATAATAGTATTAATAATGACTATAATAGTAATAATTATTGGAATCGATTGATTGTTTATCGGAGCGAGAAAATTAGTTGCCATAGTCATAGAGTTCATCGTTTGTGTGTGGGCTGTGATACTGCCCGGGTGCCCAAACCGAAGCAGGTGGTTATCTTAGGGGGCAACACCCCGAGCCTTTGACCTAATGGTCTAACTCACAAGGCAGTGGAGCATCGTAAGGAGATGCAATCCCATGGTAGCCGGTGACCAACGATTGGTTCATACGCCATTTGTTCCCGCAGGATACTGGAGCCCATGTGCACCATTGGTTTGTGATCCGGTTAAAGCGCCGGACGTTCGCTTTTCGTCCTCTCATTTTCGTAAACATCACCCCCGCCACAAGAAGGCAATGAGTAG